CTCTCTCTCTCCCTCTCTCTCTCTCTCTCTCTCTCTCTCTCTCTCTCTCTCGTGCACACACACTATAGCAGAAACCTTTACAAAAAAAAATACAATCAAACAACACAACAGGAAACTTAAAGAGGACCAAGCATAGTTAATACTGGTTGCGATCGACTGGTAAAACGCTGTGCACCTTCCAGAGAAGTGTGCAAAGTGCTCTGAGAGTAACGCTGGACTTAGGCTAATGAAAAGCTTTGTTTTGTTTTGTTTTTCAGGGCTTTCAAACAATCCTGTCCAACCTACTGGACCAAGTACACCCAGAGCCTGTGACCCCAGATTGACATTTGATGCTATAGCCACACTCCGTGGAGAAATATTTTTCTTCCAGGACAGGTATAAAACTAAATTCTTTCCCCCTTTGACTTCTCTTTCTTGTATGCCTTAAAACTGATGCTCATTGATTCCACGTTACTCAGCTTTTCCTTTGAATTCTATACAGATGTATCTCACTGGAATGTTGAGAACTTTGTAGGTAACTCAAAGCATGCAGAAAAGAAAAAAATAAAAACATTCAAATGTCTGGATGAGGTAGACAGACATGAGCCACGGCTGCTTGGAAACTCCATGGCTGAGTTTACCCAACACCAAAACATCCTTCAGTGTCGCCCAAAACCAGTCAAGTACAGGAAAGCGTCTCTCAGCAGCCGAGAGGCCATGGCAGAGACGGGTGTATTCCATCAGCCATTCAGTAAGCATGTAACAGCAGGCTGACTGCACAGCCACGCTTTGGTTGCTAGTTTTGTCTCCTCTTTCTTGGGAGGAGTAGTGAAAGAGGCTAACAAGGTTAGTTCATGTGCACGGAGGGGACAATGGCAAATGTGATCGAGTAAAGTCACTCCTGTGACCTCGAAAATTGTTAAGTACTCGCACGTGGGCAGCACCACCGCAAAGCTGAGCCAGGACCCGGTCACTGCGCTGGACATTTGCATTCATTGTAGGTTAGGTCTTCTCAGCAAGCCTATAGGGGCCATTCCTATGCCAAGCATCATAGAAACGCTTACTTAGACATGTGTGTCTGTCCGTCTGTCTATGTGTGTCTTTCTGTTCCATTAGGTACTTCTGGAGACGGCATCCTCAGCTGCGAAGGGTCGAACTCAATTTCATTTCTCTATTCTGGCCAAACCTGCCCAGTGGTATACAAGCTGCTTATGAGGATTCCGACAGGGACCTCGTTTTCCTATTTAAAGGTAACTCCCTAAAGTTTTTATCTTCACTTGTACCTGTGAGAGGGGTTGGGGCTTCTTTGAGTTCCCTTCCAGGTTCTAAAGAGGTAAGTCAATAAGAGCTTGGGCAGGCCAGGCTCTGGCCAGGACACCAGGGTTGGGCCTCATCTTGGTCACCCTGTGTGGACTTGATAAGGCTGTGCCGTATTCAGGCCTCAGTTTTCTCATCAAGAAAACGGACATCAGGCCAGCTTGCCGCTCCCTCCGTCCTCATCTCAGATAACATTTTCTAAGCTCCCCCGAGGCTGTGCCTTAGCTTCTGTATGAAGACCACATGAGACACCCAGCTGTGGTCCTGAGCCAGAACGTCGGAATCTTTTACATAAGTTCTAGGGAGCCATTAGGGACCTGATAACGTCACTTTACCACCTTCACTTTATTTGTTCCATTTTCATTTTTATGATAAATTTACACAAAGACCAAAGCATGCTACATATTGTTTTGTAGGAATTGCAGGAATATATTAACATGTAACCCCAATCATTGACAGGCAACCAATACTGGGCTCTGAATGGCTATGACATTCAGCAAGGTTATCCCAGGAATATCGCCAACTATGGCTTCCCAAGGACCGTCCAAGCGATTGACGCAGCTGTTTCCTACAGAAGTAAAACATACTTCTTTGTGAATGATCAACTCTGGAGGTAAGGTAAACTGTTCTTTAATTAGACGTTGAAATCTGTATTTCTCTACCTTGTATACAAACAACTAACAATCAGGCATCTGAAAGTTTTGAAAATCTAGGTGGGTTTAATAGGTTTGAGTGAGAATATATTCTTTTTCATAAGATGGTTGATGTTACTATGGCTTCAAAAATTTTCATTTTTATAAAATTAAAATGGCTATACCATGGTATTAAGAATTTTTTATTTGGTGTTTAGAAGTTTTTGCATCAGGGCACACGCACTCACCAGAGTGACAGAGAGACAGAGATAGTGAGAGGGAAAGTGAGAAATCACCTGACCCGCCGCCAGGGGGAATGGCCTTCTCCATTCTCTTCCCAGGATCCTGGGCACTCATGCACATACACTTAGTGTGACTATCAAGCCACCAGGTCAGGGACTCGAACTAAGGTCAGCCATGTGGGAGTCCAGTGATGTAACCACGACACCATCTGCTGGCCCTGAGTATAAGGATTTTATGTCTCGAAACAGAGTAGCCTTAGTAAAGCACTAGGGAAGAACACAAAGGAAGACTTGGGCTAATTCTCACTTTTGAGTTAAATTCTGACAAACTCAAGCAAATGTTATACAGATAGCTTCCAGAACTGGTTCCCAAGTTGGTCATTTACATTTACACACACACACACACATGCATGTGAGTACATACACACACACACACACACACACACACACACACACAGGTATACTTACATACCAAGCCTTAGAAACTATAAGCTTTTCTTTTGGGAAATAATATCAGTGATCAGAAGGCTATTTTAGAATTAATGATACTCATATTTTTATAAATATATACCCTTAGGTAGCGAAGTTGATCATTCTTAATCACAATAAATAAGACATTGCAAGAACTGGATGACAGAAAAGTGTGAAGGCACTTTGTAAATTATATACAGCTAAAAGAAAAATGTTTTTGCAGTATTCAGTACTGGTCTTAAATCATGTGACATTTTGTTCTTACCAGATATGATAACCAAAGACAAGTGATGGAACCAGGTTATCCCAGAAGTCTATCAAGTGACTTTCCAGGAATAGCAAGTAGAGTCGATGCAGTTTTCCAGCAGGATCGTAAGTAGAAAAACAAAGCAAAAACCCCTGTGAATAAATGTATTTAAATTTTTTAAATAGCAATTTGTATCTGAATGGCATATTGAAACGGGGGCAGGATTTTATAAATCAAAGATATCTAAGAACTTCTATAAGCTAACTCAGTGCTCGCTCTCTCTCTCTCTCTCTCTTCCTAGACTTCTTTCTTTTCTTCAGTGGACCAAGATATTATGCATTCGATACTACAACTCGTAGAATTACGAGGGTTGACAGGAGCAATAGATGGCTTAACTGTAGGTAAAGTCAAAGCAAAATCAGAACGGTTTAAATCCATTTTCTAAAATGGAAGGCAAGTCCAACTTACACTTCAATTATATTTTGTCTCATTTATACTTTTCTCAGTATCAATCAATCTTATTTGCTATCACTGCACTCACTGGGCCTGTGCTCACTGTTTGGAATATTTCACCATGTACAGAGGTTGGTTCAGTTCTCACACATTCCATCTCCGGTTTATGTACCTATCGCATCTGCTTCAGGCAATGTAGCACCAGATTTTGGTTAGAAGTAAGAATTATAGGCCCAGTTGGTGACATGGTAGTTAAAGTGGCTGAACCTCCCCCAATGTCGACTGTGCAGTTTGTGTTCCAGACTTGGCAACTTGAGAAACACACTGGGTGTGTGTGCTTAGGCCCAAAATTCCTAGAGAAGAGATTTGGGTGTGGTCATCACCTTGGGCGTGCTTTAGCACTTCCTCTCTCTCTCTCTCTGGTGAGCATACACGCCCTATAGAAAAACTAAAAAGAAAGGGAGGAGATCATAAGCCAGATAGATGGTGCCCATTGCCTTTACAGAAAATGTTTCCCACTCTTAGAATGAAACGTAGATGATACAGGTTGTGGGTGGATTGTGTTTCTCAAAAAAGATATATTGAAATCCTAACCTAGGTACCTATGAATGTGAGAGTGTAGGGGAAGGGATCTTTGCAGATGTAATTAGTTAAGATGAGCTCATACTAAATTCAAGTGGACGCTAGATCCAATACAACTGGTGTACTTATAAGAAGAGAGGCATGGCTACACAGAGATGGTCATGTGAAGACAGAGGAAGAGACTGGAGAGAAACATCTGCAAAACAAGAAAAATCAAGGAATGCCAGCAGAACCCAAGACCTGGGAAGAGGCAAGGAAGGATCCTATTTTGTAGCCTTGAGAGAAGAAGGCATGGCCTTGCCGACACCTGCTGAATTTGACCCCCAGAACAATGAGAGGATAAGTGTCTGGTTTTAAGTCCCCAAGTTAGTAGTACTTTGTGGCAGCAGCCCTACAAAAGTAACATATCTGTGCTTAAAAAATACAATCAACACAGAATACCAGCGTTGAACTCTCACCACGGATTACTGGCCATCTTCCTAGGGGAGCAACAGAAAAGAGATATCACTTCTCCTGCCTCCTTGCCACTCCCTCTAGAGTCCAATCTGATGGGTAGTTAGACTTCCTGTGCCGAGTTCGTTATTTCCTGGGGTATTCAGGATGATGGACTGCACAGACAGAACTGGGCTTGGCACAAAAGCAGTACAGCTCTTTAAATTAAGTTTAGGTGCATACATTTGCTAATGGCTTTTGTCAGTAAAGAATTTCAGGGCTTACAGAATCCTCATGATGTCATATTTGCAGTTGTAAAAATGTAATTCAGCTTATTATGCAATAAATATGTGGATTGTAAAATCTTCTCACCAGTGTATCTTTCTTTTTTTTTTTTCTGTCAAAGTTTTAAAATTCCTCAGTGAAGTAATTTGGCATGTTACTCTGGTACAAAATTTATCTATGAAAGGAGTTCAAGGTAAAGATTTTTATTTTAAAGGAATGATTGGTGAACTACTTTTAAGTTCTTAAAGTATCATCACACAGTGGAGCCAGCAGGTGGTGTGGAGGATAAGGAGGCTGGATCCCATGTGAACAACCACACAGTTTGAGTTCCAAACCCATTGGCTTGAAAAACATGCCTGGTGCAAGTGCATACATGCCCAAAATCCCAAGAAGAGAATAGAAGAGAAGGGATTGTGACACGGCCATTTCCCTGGCAGGGAGGAGTCTCTCTCTCTCTCTCTCTCTCTCTCTCTCTCTCTCTCCAGTGAACACACACTTCCTATAGCAAAAAACTAAAAAAGACAAAAATACATACTTATCTAAAATATAAAAAGGAATAGCCAATTTTAAATAAAATTTCAGTTATTTATTCCTTGTCAGAGTTATTATAAAATTGATAATAAACTTCTAGCTACTGCTTCAGTTTATAAATAAACATTGTATATATATTTAATATCCTGAAAAAGTTCCAAGTATACATTTATACTCAAGTACTTGTATGTTATTTTATTTTATAAGATGAGAAAACAAACCGGTAGATATTATCATTCCACTCATTTATTCAGCAAGAATAATTACCTACATGCTCCAGGGTCTACGAAAAAAATAGATTGTGTGTGTGTGTGTGTGTGTGTGGAGTATATATATACATATGCATTTGTTGAGTGTGAAAGTGTAAAAGGACCTTTAAGAACTGAACATTCTGTTTTAACAATAGAGTGCATTTCAGACAACCATGTTTTCTAACTTCTTAGGATGTCAGTTTTTACAGGCACGAAAATGAGAGATTCACCTCAGAATACCAGCTAACTGTGTGGGCTACTCCTGCTAGATGCTTGCTCTGAATCTCCTCTATACATTTCAAGATGATAACTGAGTTCCTATGATTTCTTTAACCATATTACACAGTCACAGAAAGTACTGTAATATAAATTATAGTAAGGAATTTAAAAATTTATTCATTTTTTAAAATAGTCTCTCCTTGACAGCATGCGCTGTTTTCAGGCTGTACCATTGATGCTTTATTGTAAGTACAAGAAACACAAGGATCAAGGCTTAGAATTTAAATAATGAGATTCCCTTTTATCTTAGGTTGCAGTTCTTCAAAAGCAAAGCCTAAGTCAGACCTCAGTACAATTTATTTTTTCCAGACATGGAACTAGGATGTAAGTGAGGTGACAAGCAGAGTGAGACAGGAAAGGAGAAAAAGGCCATGCTAGGACATGTTTCCAAGGTTTCTGTTATAGGCAGCAGGGTCTCAGTTACACCAGAGGCTCCTGAAAACTTATAGAATCCCTTAAATTGTTCACATCTCCAGTGGACAGGAGGCCAGAACATTCACTTTTCTCTTCCCATCCTCCACTAGATGAGACTTATCCCTGAAAGTGTCAACTCCCTTACACAATGGGCTGTACTCATGCTGACCCAGCAAGCTTGATGGCATCTCAGTGTCCTGGACAGAAAGCCAAAAGACACCCAGTATGTGCTTAAGGTTGGACTTTGTCAGAGTCGAGTGAGCTACACACACTTGTCCCTCACTGTTGCCACTAAGTCAGAGGCGAGCCAAGGAGATGCGACATCGGGCACCAGAAGCATCTTCTACAGCTCTGTAGCCGGGAGATTTGAGTGATGAGCATTTGGAGAAGTCTTCTCTGCAGAAACTTACTAGTCCAAGAAAAAAAGATTTCTTAATAGACTGGGGAAATCTCAATGTGGCACAGGTGCTAGCTAATTAGCTACCCTAACATCCATTTGGCACTTTCTCTTCTGCAATAAGACCTCATTTCTATTGAAGGTAGCGATGCATTCAACTAAATGACTACTTTGTATAGCTTTTGGTGTAGCTGTGAGTTTCATTTATAGCCACATGTATAAACAGAATATTGTATGGGGCTTTCAGAAAGAGGCTGGGAATTCATTTATTCTTGACTTCCTCCTTCCTACTATAAATGGCTAGAGCTTGAGAAGCCACCAGACCTGAGGCATTGGACCAAGAGTGACTTAGCAAAGCAGATGTTGCCTACATCCCTGATCATAAGGCACTGTCATACCAGCCCCAAATGACCAAATCTAGGCTGCTTTTAAGTTACAGAAAAAATAATTTTTATTTTATTAAGCATCTGTTACATTCACCCAAATCTCATCTTCACTAATACATGAAATGTCTGGAACCTGCTCTACCTCCCTGCAGTGAAAGTCCTTAGAAAGAAGCAGAACATTTAAAGGACACAAAAATGAAAAATCATCTGTGGGTTATGTATATGGCGAAATCTTTGAGCCAATGTACAGTGTATTCATGATGGGAAAATTCATTTGGTATGCTGTAATGATACACAGTGATTGAATGTTAAAAAAATTTAATACGTTTAAAATAAGGTCATTAATTCACTGGTTCTACCTGTATGCATGAGTCTCCAGTCAGCTTCCTTATCTCTCATCCTCAAACACATTGCACAGAACAGTAACCCAACATTTGAAAAAATATCCCAATGCCAAAAACAGAGTTCAAAAAAGGAAATAAGGAAACAAAGACAATCCTAAGAACAGAAGAAAAGGTCAAAATAAACTAAGGAATACTTAACACTAATATTCTTTAAAAATAAGACATACTTTATATCCCATAAATACTAACAATATGCAAAAAAAAAGTTTTAAAAATGTAAAAGAATGCTGAGAGCTGAAAAGACTCTTGGAAATTAAAAATAGGAAAATGGATGGAAGAAATTATTTTTCAAATAATTTCTAAAATATTGGAAAGTTACCTTGAAGTTTCCATAATGAAAGGGCCCTTTTACTGCCCAGAATGGTTAATATTAAAAGACCCACATCAAGAGATGTAATTAGAAATTTTTCAGAATATTAAGATCAAGAGAATATTTCTAAAATTTTTCAAAAGGAAATGATCAGGATTCAGAACAGAAGATTTCTCAACAATACTAGATTCTAGAAAATAATGAAAGAAAATCTTCAGAGTTCTAAGAGATATTCATTTCTGCCTGCAATTCTATACCCAGCTACACTGTCAAATCAACTGTGAGGATAAATAAAGGGCATTCATAGACATGAAAACATCCAAAATAACAGTCCACCTGTGGTGGCACAGGTGATAAGGCACTGCAGTGCAATACCAGAATCAGATGAGAAGTCCCAGGGTTCAAGTCTTAGGTTGACCTGAAAACACTGGGCACACCCACAATCCTGGCTGGTTGTAGGGCTAAGGGCAGGATAACTGTGTGATAAGACCCTGTTGCAGGGAATGGGGATTCTGTCTTTCCCTCTTTCTCTGCTTCTCTCTTTTTTTACTCTCTTAAGAAAGAAGAAAAATAATTAAAGATGTAATATACTAATTTTTCTTGCATTCTCTCTGTGAAAACTCCTGAGAGACATGTTCCATAGAAATAAGGGAGCAAGTCAGGAAATAGTAGGAATTATATCTAGGAGCGAGGGATCTAACACAGAGACACAACAGATTCTCTGGTTGCTGACAGGATGAAAGCTTTTCAACAGACCCTGATTGGAGAAGACAAAGTCTCTCATAGGGACCACCTCAAGGGGATAAAAAAATCCATATTCCTATTTAGATTTCCTATCATGTTTGATTTTTTTGTGGTTTTTTTTTTTTTTTTAAGAGAGATTTTTGCTACAGGGTATGTGCACTTGCCAGAGAAAGAGAGAGACAGAAAGCGAGAAATCACCCCCCAGGGGGATGGCCATGACACAATCCCTTTTCCACCATTCTCCTCTAGGGATCTTGGGCCTGCATGCCCACATGCCTGGCATGAGTTTTAAGCCACCGAGTTTGGGACTAGAACCACAGTCGACTATGTGAGAGTCCAGCAATGTAACCATTACATCATCTGCTGGTCCCCATATCTGATTATTTTGAGAAGAGTTTCAGAGCTCTATTGGAGAAGTTGGGAATAATTAGTAAATCAAAATTCAGTTAAATTCTGAGCAAAACCGCTGTTCAAGAAAGAAAATATAACCTAGTATACTTACATGGCTCTCTTGTGAATAACATAGCCATAGTCAGAACTGCATAAATACAGATTACTGATTTAACTGAAAACATTACTAGTACTAAACTAGGAAAATGGAGGAGAAAATGAGGTGAATGAGGAATCCTCCTCTTCTACAGGAAAATGTTACCAGTAACATTGAGCATTTAAGACTCAAGAAATAGGGCCAGCTGAGTGGTTTAGTGGTTAAGAAAACTGGATCCTACATGGCCAACTGCACAGTTCAAGTCCCTGCAGGTGGCTTGGAAGATACACCAGATGTGTGTGTGTACCCAAAACCTCAAGATTAGACTGGAGGAGAAGGGATTGGGGTGTGGTCATTCTCCCTTGGAGGTGCTGTCTCATTTTCTCTCCCCCCAACCCCCACACCCTAGTAAGCACAAACACTCCATAGCAAAAAAACAAACAAACAAACAAAAAAACCCACAGTAGCATAAGCATGTTATTTAGAAATGTGAGGGCTAAGAATGAGGAGAGAAGCTATAAAAATAATTTGAAGAACTTACCACTGGGAAGTGGGACTTGAAGATGTGAAAGGTTAGAGTAGAAAGATGGTATTTATTCATCATAAACACGATAGTATGTCTGACTTCTTTGTCATATTTTTTTGTGACAATGTTATTTTTTAAACATGTCCTAAAATGTATTCTGGTTTATAAAACACAAGAGAGTTTCATAATGAATGTGCATGTGCTCACACCAGCTTACCAATACCAAGATAATGCATATCTTCACCATGTCTACCTATTTCCTCCATTCTTCTCTTTCCTTAGAACGATGTTTAGACTATATTAATAATATTAA